ACCTCAATCCTGTACTTATGCATAGTGTGGAGCAGAATCTAAAGAGAATAAAATAAGATAAAGTATCATTATTAATAGATTCACTTGAGAGATGGAATTATAATAATAACAATAATAATAACAACAACTTTACAAAGACAAAGTCAACAAAAATAAAAAGCAAAAGTTTATGTATCAAAATCAAAGTGATGGTGCTAATTGGAACACAATACCAATTAGGCTATATTCAAGTTAACTGCATGCACTTGACTTGAAGTAATCATATTTCCCCATAAACCCATGCATGCACAACCCAGTTCAATGCACACTATTATAAATGTCTTACATTGCCATTTTGACTTTCGCTGTGATGAGTGATCTTAATGGATTTGAAACTAATCGGTTTCTTGATCCACATCTCTCCATAGCAAGGTGAGGACGGATGAATGAAGAGCATCTTGGACTCATCATGAATGATGTCAGACTCACCGACCGCAGTCCATTGACCAGTGATGTATTTGTGTCTATATTTATCGGCAGACACAAAACGAACCATGATAGAGTACTGGATAGTGGGGACAAGACCACTGACTGTTACTAAGATGGTTGGAAAGAGACGCCTAAAAATCAACAAAAAAATTAATGTTATACTGTTGTAACTGAGATATGACGGATTGTTAACAGGACATTACAGTGAGTTGTCAAATCAATAAACACTATTGGCATGATTTTTTGAATAGAAAAGGTGCTACATGCATTTGAAAACATTCAAAAAACACAAATTGCTATAATATTTTCCCCAAAAATACATCAGGGTCCATAGACTATACCTTCCTGGCTTAGTCACTATCATCTCGTTCCCAGCAGTATCAAAAGCTTTCCAGAGCTGATTCTCCGTTAGGACGGCTGAAGGAACGAGTTGCTCCTTGTGTTTAGCTGGTTTATCAGTAGCAGAAGGAGGAGGAGGGACGGGAGCTGAAGAAGGTGCATAAATGGCAGGTCCAACTGCAAGCGCTGGAGGAGTAGCGATGAGGTCAGGGGTACTGCCATTTTGCTGCTTCTCCTCGTCAGAAGAACTCCCTCCATTGGTGGGTTGCTGCTGTAGGAAGACAGGGCTAAAGGAGTCTGGCTTGGTGTCCAGGTAGATAGGAGGGAAGGAGTAAGGAGAGAAATGATAGCCAGCGGCGATGGGAGAATGATGGAGAGTTCCCGGGGCTGGAGAATACTTAAAGGTCAAGTGTGGAAAGGTCCCGACTGGAGACAGGCTTGGAGCTGTAACGACGATATTAGTAGCTGCTGAATTCATGTTATATCGAAGGCAGGAGAGAGAGAGCGAGTGAAAAGGAGGGTCAGAGCTAGGCTACTATTAAAAATGGTGAGACGGTGACTGTCTATAAAACTACTACGACAATTAGCACTTTAGAATTTACCCGCCAAACTCGCGTGATCGCCGCTAAGCCCCGCCAAATCAGATTCGTGTGAAGAGGTGACACAGAACAGTAACAAGGTCACACTCTTATAGCTGAGAGACACTGAGAGTAGAGCTGATAAAGGAGCAATAGAGAAAGAAAAAAGATTGACATACAGTTATATAAAATCATGATAGAAGTAGAACAATTGTTGGGAATGAAATAGACACTTTATGATTTCATCAGAATTATGATTAATATTGAAACGATTAGTGTTTCCACTTGCTACTGCTTTGAATAAGACTAAGCAAGGATTCCCTAGAAAGAGCAAGTCTATACAACAATAAAGCAATTTTATACTTACTTTTTATGATAATCGACTTTTGGGGCGTCGTCTTGTAGCATACGTTTTCTCCTCCTTCTCTCTGCCTCATTCTGTCGATGATGGAGCAACTGTGGAGGAAGATCTACTCCTAATGGCTCCAAAAGATCAATCAGCCCAGTAAATATACCTAAAGCAACACACAGTAGTGACAAATGCTATTAAAACAGTAACCATTTATA